TTCAAACCAATGGGAGGAACCACAAGAAAGAAGAAACAAAACAACAACAAAAAGAGAGCAAATAGTATGCTTCATTCTGCATTCATACTCCATAGTTCTTTTTCTGGATGTGAATAACATTTTCCATCAAGTCTCTTGGAATTGTCTTAGATCCATGCATTGCTGAGAAGAGCCAAATTTATGAAAGTTAGTCATCGCACAGTGTGGCTGTTATTGTGTACAATGTTCTCCTGGTTCTGCTCACTTCACTCAGCATCAGTTCATTCAAGTCTTTCCAGGTTTTTCTGAAGTCCACCTGCTCATCATTTCTTATAGCACAATAGTATTCCATTACATTCATATACCACAACTTGTGTATGACCTGTTCTTGATGAAGCCATTTGGGCTCTTTATTATACCTTCTCCCCTCTCCCTCGTTATAGAGGTTCACTAACTGTTCATTTAATTATGCATTCTAGAATTTTGCCAGGAATCCAAATTAAACTCATTGGTCTGTAATTTTCTCTTCTTATCTCTTCTCTCCTTCTTCCCTTCTCTTTCTCTGTTTCTGTATATTTTTGAAAATAAATAAACTGCATGAACTACAGCTTAGAAAATCATCTTTGGGGGTGCAGAGCCAAGATGGCAGAGGGAAAGCAGTGACTTGCTTAAGCTGTCCCCCAAACCCCTGCAAATACCTATAAAAAATGACTCTAGACAAATTCTAAAGGAGCAGAACCCACAAAAAGACAGAGTGAAACAAATTTCCAGGCCAAGACAACCTGGATGGTTGATCAGAAAGGTATATCGTGCTGGGCTGGGAAAGGAGCGCAGTTCTGCGTGGGTGTGCAGGCCGCAGTGACCCTGGAGCAGGCCTCAGAGGACTAAATCGCAGGCAGCTGTAGTGCTTTCCAGACTTTTCAACCCATGAACGCCAAAGACAACTTGGAAGGTCAGTAGGAAAAGTCTGTGACTGCGAGTGAGAGAGGGAAGGTAGGTCTCCCCCACCCCTGGGGCAGCAGCTGCCTCCTGAGCTTCCGGCCCACAGACTGAGGGGGAATTGAGTGGCTGATCAGAGGGGGATTGCAGGGATCTCTTTGCCAGAGCTGAGGCAGGAATCTTTTGCTTTGCCCGTGCTTGGATCTGGGGCACAGTTCTGAGGGGCTGTCCTGGGGTGAGGAGGAGCGCTGATGTGGTGGAGCTTGTTGTGGCGGTGGAGAGGAAACACCTCGCCCCTTATCATAGCACCTTGGAAGAACTGAAAATTTACAGGTCCCTAGAAGTATCTTTGAAAACAGCTGTACAAACCCCCAAAGCTTGGTACACTACATTCTCCACATTGGAAACAGACTCTTACCTTAACAAAGAATTTAAAACTCAAGTAATTGGCTGGGAGCAAACCTCGTAAAAAGAGTCAGACTATATTATCTTACTTTGGTGACAAAGAAGATCAAAACATACAACCAGAAGAAGACAACAAAGTCAAAGCTCCTACATCCAAAGCCTCCAAGAAAATATGAATCAGTCCCAGGCCTTGGAAGAGCTCAAAAAGGTTTTTGAGAAGCAAGTAAGAGAAGTAGAGGAAAAACTGGGAAGAGAAATGAGAGTGATGCAAGAAAATCATGAAAAACAAGTCAACAGCTTGCTAAAGGAGACCCAAAAAAATACTAAAGAAAATAATACCTTAAAAAATAGACTAACCCAAATGGCAAAAGAAGTCCAAAAAGCCAATGAGGAGAAGAATGCCCTAAAAAGCAAAACTGGCCAGATGGAAAAGGAAGTCCAAAAGATTACTGAAGAAAATAATTCCTTAAAAATTAGAATAGGGCAATTGGAAGCTAGTGACTTTATGAGAAATCAAGACACTGTAAAACAAATCCAAAAGAATGAAAAATTAGAAAACAATGTGAAATATCTCATTGGAAAAACAACTGACCTGGAAAAAGATCCAGGAGAGAGAATTTAAAAATTATTGGGCTATCTGAAAGCCATGATCAAAAGAAGCCTAGACATCATCTTTCAAGAAATTATCAAGGAAAACTGCCCTGATATTCTAGAACCAGAAAGTAAAGTAGAAACTGAAAGAATCCACCAATCTCCTCCTGAAAGAGATCCCCAAAGGAAAACTCCTAGGAATATTGTAACCAAATTCCAGAGTTCCCAAGTCAAGGAGAAAATATTATAAGCAGCCAGAAAGAAACAATTCAAGTATTGTGGAAACACAATCAGGATAACACAAGATTTAGCAGCTTCTACATTAAGGGACCACAGGGCATGGAATATAATATTCCGGAGGGCAAAGGAGATAGGATTACAACCAAGAATCACCTACCCAGCAAAACTGAGTATAATCCTTCAGGGGAAAAAATAGTCATTCAGTGAAATAGAGGACTTTCAAGCATTCTTGATGGAAAGACCAGAGCTGAATAGAAAATTTGACTTTCAGATAGAAGACTCAAGTGGAACATGAAGAGGTAAACAGGAAAGAGAAATCATAAGAGACTTATTAAGGTTGAACTGTTTACATTCCTGCATGGAAAGGTGATATTTATAACTCATGAGACCTTTGTCAGTATTAGGGTAGTTGAAGGAAAAAATTACATGTATGTATATAGATAGATAGATAGATACATACATACATACATACATAGAGGGCACAGGGTGAGTTAAAGATGAAGGGGTCATATATGGAGAATAAAATTAAGGGGTGAGAAAGGATTGTGCTAGGAGAAGGAGAAAGGGAGAGGTAGAATGGGGTAAATTATCTCACAAAAAAAGGCTCTTCCAGTTGAGGGGAAGTAGGGGAAGGTGAAAGGGAATGAGTGAATCTTATTCTCATAGTATTTGACTTAAGGAGGGAATAAAATACATACTCAATTGGGTATGGAAATCTGTCTTACCCTACAGGAAAATAGGGGGAGAAGGGGACAAGAGAGTAGGGGGATGATAGAGAGGAGGGCAGATTGGGAACGGGAGTAATCAGAAGCAACCACTTCTGAGCAGGGACAGAGTCAAAAGAAAGGATAAATGGGTAGGCGGAATAGGATTAAGGGAAATAGACTTAGTTTTTCACAGCATGCCTACCATGAAAGTGTTTTGCATAACTGCACACGTATAACCTGTATTGAGTTGCATGCCTTTTCAATGAGGGTGGGTGGGGAGGGAGGAAGGGAGAAAATTTGGAACCCAAAATTTTAAAAACACATGTTTAAAAAAAAATTTTCAGATGCAACTGGGAAATAAGAAATACAGGAAATGGGGTACAGAAATTTATCCTGCCCTACAGGAAAATAGAAGGGGAAGGGGATAAGAGAATGGGGGGAGATAGAAGGGAAGGCAGATTAGGGGAAGGCATATTCAGAATACGTGCCATCTTGGGGTGGGGGGGTCGAGATGGGGTGAAAAAAGCAAGTGTTGAAAACTAAAAATAAATAAATTTATTAATTAAAAAAATCACCTTTGAACTAAAATTGCATTGTGATAGAGAAATTTGAATGTGAATTAAAGGAGATAAAAATAGAAAGTCCTATGAGAATATGTTATCAGTCCCTTGGCTATTAGGAGAATTTGGATGAAACTTTCCTAACAGATTATAAAATTGACACATGCTAGTAATGGTGAATTTCAACTATCCATACAGTTGCTTTAAGGTTCGTTTTGCTAAAAGTGGAAAGGCCAATAAATTTTTAACATGTTTGGCTGACAATTCACTTCTAGGATATGAAGTGTAGAATGAAGGAAACTGCTACTGTATATCAAATTCTAAACATTGTTGAAAAACAGGATTATCCTTTTTAAAAGTTAATTTAAAATTTTCAGTTAACAAGCATTTATTCCTTTCCACATCTCTCACTAGAAAATAAAAGCAAAACCATTGTAAAAAATATGCATTGTCAAGCAAAGCAAATTCTTTCATTAGTCATGTCCAAAAATCTATGTGTTATTCTGTGTTTTTAGTCCATCACCTCTCTGTTAGGTGGTAGATAGTATTCTTCATCGTTGGTTCGCTGAGATTGTATTTAATCATTTCATGTGACAATATTATCTTAGAGTTAAAAATAACCATGAAAGGGAATTCTGGACATAGTAGGACATAGCAGCATATAAAACATTCAGGAGGGATGTCCCTCCTGATCCCTCTGAGGAAAGATACAGTGGGAAATGTAGTTGAAGTTAAAATTGAAAACATATTTAAAAGAAAGAAAGATGTGTTCCTCTAGCCAGAGACTCAAAAAAAGGGGAAAGGTATTTTAAAGGCATTAAAAAAATTCTGACTCTACAATCACAAATTGTTTCCATGAGACAAAAAGGAGGAGGCAGCTAAGGAACTCAATGTGATGAACTCAAAAGGGGCATGTATAGAATATGGAAAGAGATACAACATTTGTTAAGACAGGTAGCTTCTAAGTTTTTTTCCAAATCTAAAACTCTGTGATTTCTCATATTCCTATACAACCTCAGACTGTTTAAAAAACATGAATTCCTAAACATTTCTAAAATAGTTAAATGTGCATCTCATTGAAATAAGCCATGTAGCTTTAATAAATCCTTAATTTTATTATCTTCATCTTTGCTGCTGTATTCATACTGCTAGGTAAGGACATACACCATCTAATGCTGTCATTTCTTTTTCCAGTAGAGGGCTCTGTTGTCCTTGTAAAAGAGTACTTAGAAAAATGCTTAAAAAGTTAAAGTAAATGTAGACTGGTCTGGTCAGAGACAATGTCTTGGTCACAGTCTTTTGCACAGAAAGTATAGACAATAGTGAAAACCTTTGGCATATTATAAGGTATAAAATCTTTCAATAAAAGGGTACAGATAATTAAATTGCCAGTTTTGAGAAAGCATTCATCTCAGGTGACTCATTTTAAGTTGGAAGATCTGGTCTGCCTTTGCCTTTTTCTTCTCTTGGGAAAAAATATTCTTTTAGTGAGAAATTAATTTGTATATCTAAGTGTCTTATAACCAAATGAATTGAAAATGTGAAATTAAAACTGATTTTTTTTTGTTTCCCTAAACAGCGTGCAATTAAGAAATTTCTTAAGCTAGTATCAAACCAAGATATGCCAGTGTTTCTTATTGATCCTTTGGTTCTGGAAGTGATTAATAAAGATTTTGAACAAGTTAAAAACTCTTCTTATGGTAGTGTCTCAGAATGCAAGTATTTATGTGTGAAAAGAGACTTTACTACATTTGCACTACTGGACCATCTATTGAAAAATGAGGTAAGGTGTTTACTTTTAGATAATTGGCTGTATATATTTTTGTGTCTTTCATAAAAGCAGCCTATGTCAGGTCAACTAGCATCTATTAAGCACCGATTATCTATCACTCAACTGTGGTAAATGCTGGGGATACAAAGAAAGCTCTTGAGGAGTTCACAGTCTTAATAGGGGAAACAACATGGAAACAATTATGTACAAACAGGATATATGCAGGATAAATTGGAAATCATCAAAGGAGGGAAGGCATTAACATTAAGGTAAAAGAGTAATCTGAAAATAGCTCTGGAGAACAAAGAATAAATGAGCTTTATATTCCTGGTTCCATCAGTTGGAAGAAGAAGGAAAAGGAATGACTTCCATTGGAGAGAATTACAAAGGACGTAGTAGTATACTCAGAGGAAGCTGTTTTTCAGTTAACGCACAATAGCGGAAAGAGCATTGGTTGAATGTAGGAGTTTTTGTTGAGAATATAGCGAAGGGTCTTAGAACGGACTAGGAGATAGGACACTAAGTTGAGATGGCCCCAGTGAGGTTGCGAGTTGATGCAAATGAAATGAGGATTTAGAAGGCTTTGCTGGCATCACACTCCAGCAGCTAAAGTGGTGGGAGTAGGTAACTGCAGAAAGTGTACATTTAGAAGGATGTGTTTTCAGTATGAGAGGTAGATTACTCAGTTGGCAAATCTCTTAACTACCTATTCTCCTCCTTCCCCACCCCTAATTGAGAAAGCAAGAAAAACAAAACTTGTTCCAAGCATGTATAGTCAAGCAAAGCAAACCCCTGTGCTGGCCATGTCTTTTAAAAAAATAACCTCAATCTTCACTCTGAGTCCATCCCCTCCCTCTGGAGGAAGTTCTGATGTTTGTTTTTTTTTAATGGGGGAGTGGGGCACTTTGGCCCTGTGATTTTATTGGCGTAGAGAATTTCTTGAGGAAACTGCTTCTACTGATGCAGATTGGTAACTGTTCTTCAGCTTACACTATAGAAGGTTGCTTAGGGTACTGAGAGATTAAAGGAGTTGTCCCAAGTCCCAAAGCCAGGGTGGGTCAAAGGTGGGTCTTCATTATATATGTATATGTATATGACTCCAGTACCTGTTATCTGGCTTCTGTGTATCACTATTGCTTGAAGCACACTTTCACTATTTGTAATTATGTTGGGAAAGATAAATTGTCCTGTAACACATTGAGATCCATGTAATAAATTGTTTTATAATGGTATTCTGTTACTGTAACAAGTTGTAATATAAGGGTGCTCATGAAAGGGCTGCTTCTTTGAAGTACTATGGAAATGTAAAGTTATTAATAACTAAATTTAGACGAGCAGCTTTCACTTTAAGTATTGCTAGTGAGCAGCCTATTAAAATTTTTTTTATTTATACTTTCTGGTGAATTCTGAGGAACAGATTGGATGAATAGTCAATCAGCAAGTATTTGTCAAGTGCCTATTTACTATGTGCCAGTCACTGTGCCAGGAACTGGGGATACTGATGCAAAATTAAGACAGTCCCTGCCCTGAAAGAGCTTGCATTTTGGTGGAAGGATACCACAACATTATTGTAAATGCAAGTTATATGGAAAAGAATAATTCAGGGATGGATCATATCAACTGGAAAAACCATGAAAGACGTCTTAAAAGCCGTGGCACTCAAGTTGTACCTTGAAAGAACCAAGGGCGTCCAGGAGGCAACAGGAAGAATATTTCAGGCATGGGGAAAAGCTAAGGATCAAGTAGGTCGTTCTGGTAGAACCATAGTATACATGAGGGGAAATCATATGTAATTAGCCTGGAAAGATAGGCTGGAGCCAGATTGTGAAACATTTTAAAGGTCAAAAAGAGGAGTTTGAATTTTATTCTAGAGACTTAGGGAGCCACTCAAGCTCTTTGATTGAAGCCACATGTTCAGATCTGAGTTTTAGGAATCTCATTCTGGTAGCTGTGTAGAGGATAGATTGGAGAGGAGATAGACTAGATGCAACCCCTTATACCCTTTCTTCCTCCTTCCTCATGCACTCTGCAGTACAGTGATACTGGCCTCCTTGTTATTCCTAGTCCATGATACACTTTTCCCCAGTGGCAGGCATTTTCACTGGCTGCCCCCAGCCAATTGTAGCCTCTCCCTCCTGGCTTCCCTCAAGTCTCAGCTAAAGTCCCACCTTCTGTAAGAAGTCTTCCCAGTCCTCCTTATTCTTAGTGCTTTCCCTCTGAGATTATCTCCAATTTACCTTGTATATCTCCTGTTTACATTTTTTCTTCCTCATTAAACTGGGAGCTCCTTCAGAGAAGGGACTTTTTTGTAACCTCAGCACTTATTAGTACCTGGTACATAGTAGGCACTTGATAAATGCCTGTTGACTAACTCATTAATTAGGAGGTTATAATAGTACACAAGTGAGATGTGGTGGGAGTCTGAACTTAGAGTGGTTATGGTGTAAGTTGACAAAAAGAGGTTGAAGTGAGAAATGTAGATGAAGAAGGATAGACTTGATTTGGTGGCTGATTATTATGTAGGGAGGAGAGTAGAGAACCAAGGATGACTCCTTGTTTCATGTTTGAGTAACTAGAATAATGATGTAACCATTGACATAAATAGGAGATTAGGAGAAGTGGGGAAAAGAGTTTGGTTTTGGACATGTTGAGTTTGAGATGCCTTCGGGAGATATTGGTAATGTCCGGCATTCAGTTGGAGGTGGGACTAGAGCTCAGGAGAGATATGAAGGCCAGACTTGTAGATTTGGTAGCCATTCCCGTGGAGATGGTCCACAGCAGTTGGTGAACGTACCATGAACCAAATGTAGGGAGAGCAAAGGAAGAAGCTCAGAATGTAGCCCCAGGAGTACACCCATGCATTGAAAGCAGGGCATGCAAAGGACACTGAGAAGAATTGATTGGTCTGACTGATAGGAATTATGGGTAAAAAGTCATAAAGAAATGAACTCAGACTTTATGTCAGGAGAAACTTTCTTATAATTAGAGTTGTCCAAAAATAGAATGGGCATCCTTGAAAGGTGTTAGGCTCTGCCTTGTTGGAGGTTTTTAGGCAGAGACTAGAGCCAGTGCTTAAACTCTGGGTCGAAACCCCATATGGGGTCCTATGTGGAGTGCTGAAGTCCCATATGAGAGTGGAAAAAGTTTAAGAAGCCCTGGGCTAAACAACCACTTCTCAGTTATATTATAATGGGGAATCCTTTTGGGTATGTGTGGGTTTGAATGGCAATTGAAGTCTCTTCCAATTCTCAAATTCTGTAATCCTGTTAAAAAAACCCAGAAAAGAGAAATTATACAGAAGGAAAGAATGGTCAGTGATATCAAGTAGTATATAGGATTGAGGAAAGATCATTGAGAAAGATCCATCTCTTCTCTCTCGATGTTAAAGCTTCAAGGGAGGAGGAACATCTCGGTATAAAACAGTAAAGGATCCCTTGAAATCACTTGTACAATCTAATTGTGGGAAAGACACTTCCCTGGGCTTCAGTTTTATTATCCATAAAGTGAGGATTTGGAGCTAAGTGATCTCTAAGGTCCCTTCTAGTTATTCTTTTGACCCCATGATCCCTTAATGTATTTAGTAAACACCAATCAAATTTTGCTGTTCATCTTTGGCTTTAGCTGGAGCTTTAAAGGACACTTCTTTGGTTCTAGGAGAACTGGTTTCAAATAGCTGAGAGAATGGGATTCCAGTGCCTAAAAATTCAGAGCAAAGATCCCCGCCTAGATGGAATAGATTACCTCTCAGGAACTGATATCCCCCTGCACTATATCCTCAAACTAGCAACTCATGCCATTCATCTGGTGATCTTCTATGAAAGAAGTGGCAACTACCTCTGGCATGGACAGTTACGACTTAAAGGACATTCAGACAGAAAGTTTGTGCCTTTTCGGAAGTTACAGTATGGTCGTTATCCAGGAGCTTTTGACAGGTGAGTTAAGCAGCATGAAAAAATCAGAAATGTTTGCTGACCCCATCAAGTGACATTTCTTCATGTGTGAAAAAATGTAACATAAAATTAATATATGCCAGTTCTAAAATTCAAAAACATTTAAAAATCTGATTATCAAGTTAAATGCTAATAGTAGTCACACTAGATCAAGGACACATAATCATGATTCATTATGTATAGGAAGTAACAGCCAATCACTTCATGACATTTAAATATTTACTGATATAAGCATTTCTGTCCATTCGTGGATTCCTTAGAATTAGAACAAAAACATGAATATGAAAATAGCATCATTTTCTACTCCTTTGAGGAATAGCAGGTGAGTTAGTGGCCATAGAGAAGAGAAATTTCAACTCTTCTGAGGAGGAAGACAAATATTTGCTTTCCCTTTTATTTTAGTTATTCTAAGAGTTTTATAATTTCTGGGAGTGAATTGTCCAGTTTGTGAGATGTCCATGAGCTTTGGTTCCTTTTCTTTTTGTCTTCTTTGGCTATTTCCTTGCTGATACAGTACCTCTTCAAGGGCAAGAGGACAGTAAGGGAAACTTAGCCATCCATTTTGGTTTTGGGTTTTTTTTTCTGCTTGTTAGTAACTGTTGTGAAGTGGGGAGAGCATAAACTTCAATGGCTACCAGAAGAGTTTGAATTATATGTGGTTTTCCCCTCCCTGTGCTGTGCCTTCCTTCAGTGAGCATCCGTAACACAATTGGCTTAATCATCCAGTCAGTCTTCCTAGGCTAATCAGATACTTTCCTTTAATTGTTTGATTCTTTTCTCTCTTAAGGCTGGGAGGCAATCTTGTGAGATAGAAGGAACATTGAACTGAGAATCAGGCTGTGGTCACATCTCTGCAACCAACTGGCTATGTGACATGAGCAGAACATCTCTAGGGTTCTGTATTCTCAATGTAAATGTAAAGTAAGGGAGTTCGACAGAATTGTTTTGGAGCCTTTCTAGCTCTAAAAGCATTTGAATCTATCATGCTTTAAGGGGGCAGACTAGATGGAACATTTTCACTTACTCTAGTACCTTGAAATCACTCTATTTCAGATATTATAAATATAATTTAGTAGCTTTCTACTTTAATATGGACAGTGAGAATTGTGGCTAAAGAGTTAAAAGCTTAGTGTTAACTTCATAAAAAATTGTGAAGCAAAAATGTACCTTTTTTGCTTTATTAATGTCCAAATTTGAAAAACTAAAGGTTTCTCAGTCCTTATTTAGAAGTGAGAACATTGGGGGTAGCTAAGTGGCACAGTGTATAGAGCACCAGCCCTGGAGTCAAGAGGACCTGAGTTCAAATTTGGCTTCAGACACATAATATTCACTTAGCTGTGTGACTCTGGGCAAGTCACTTAATCCCAGTTGCCTCACCAAAAAAAAAAAAAAAAATGAGAACAGTATTTCCTTTGAAATATAATTATTTTTATGGGATTTTAAAATGTGTAAAATTCTATAATTAATGGTGTGACTTTATGTTTATTAGAACATATGTCAACTTTTGGCCAGTTTGGCTGCTTGAATGGAGGCAAAGCAGATCACCTCCCCTTTAAAACCCTAAAAATTGCACCATGCCAAATGATCAAGAAATCCAATGAGAAGCTACAGTAAGTGACTTCTTATACCCCAGAAATGCACACAGAGTCATCTAGAAGGTTGCAGGTTGATAGGAAAGGGGGCTTCCAGCAAAGCTAGCACCAGCTCAGGCAGACAAACCAATAGTCTCTTTCTGTGGCCAGATATGGGCCTAAGATACATGTAGCCTGCAGAGCTCTGTATCTGGAGGCAACAAAAACAGAGAAACCCCCAGGGAGACCAGAAACCCTCAGTGAATACCTTAAAAACAACGGGAAATAATAATGACCAGTGTGGTCAAAGTAGCACTCAGAGTCCCTAGCGTTCTGTGGTAAGATTCCATGGAGAGCCCTAAAGATATAAAACAACATTTAAGAAAAAAAGATATAAAAGCCATTCTTGCGGTTTAGCATCAAAAGTTAAATCCCTTTTCCTGTGTTAAATCTTTTCCCTTTTATGGATTCAGTAATGCTGAATCCGCTTCAAATACTGAGGGGCCTACATATGAAACTGGAAACAAATATGCCTGCTCTACTCTATTTTTTATATTTGACAAAATTCTGACAATGAGAATTTCTTAAATTTGGTAGAATTCCAGTATCAAACTCTGAAGCATGGCAATTTCCAAGGAGAATAGTTGTTCCTTTAAAGAAAAATGATTTATGTTAACCTTTTTAATGAGAGTTCAGGAGTTGAATATTTAACTCAGAATGAAATAGTGTCTGAACCAATGCAATTTTCTTGCATGTAGTTGTAGTTTTTTTTTTCTGACCCTAGCCAGGTATTAAAATGACCAGGTTAGTCAAAATATTTTGAAAGATTGACTTCCATCATGGATTATTTTAGATGAACAAATAATAGCCATTATTCTGAACATCCCATCCCTTGTGCTTGCCTCCACCTTATCCCCTTCCTTTTTAGGGACAGCCTGTGAGGACATGCTCAGAGATAGGAAACACCTGGCTCTGAGAAGACACGATTTTGGAAAGTTTTGTTAAAGGCTGGGACTAGTTCATTCATTCATCAAGTATCATTATGAACCTGCTATGCAAAAGTTTCAGCTGGGTGGTGCAGTGGATAACTGGAGTCAGAAAGACTTATCTTCCTACATTCAAATCTTGCCTCAGACACTTACTAGTTTTGTGACCCTGGGCAAGTCACTTAACCCTGTTTGCCTCAGTTCCTCATCAACAGATTGAGCTGGAGAAGGAAATGGCAAACCACTCCTGTCTCTTTGCCAAGGAAAGTCCAAATGGGGTCACAAAGAGTCAGACGTGACTGAAAACACCTAAACAACAACAACGCTACGCAAAAGGCATGGGCTAGACGCTGGGAGATGAGAGCAGTGAATTTGTAGTTGGAGGACCTTTATTCAAGTCCTGCCTGTGATATCTCTTGAATGACCTTGGGCCAAGTCACTTAACCCCCCTAGACTTCCCTTTATTTGTAAAATGAAGGAGTTGGACTAGAAAGTCTCAGTAGTTCTTTCTAGTTTTTGTTATTGTTGTTGTTTTTTGTGTTTTGCTGGGTAACGGGGTTAAGTGACTTGCCCAAGGTCACACAGCTAGTGAGTGTCAAGTGGCTGAGGTCCGGATTTGAACTCAAATCCTCCTGATTTCAGGTCCGGTGCTCTATCCACTGCACCACCTAGCTGCCTTTCTTTCTAGTTTTAAATCTATTCATTTAGTCACCATTCAGTAGTCAAAAGTCAGTAAGCATTTATTAAATGCCTGCTGTATGCTAGATATTTTCCTAGATGCTAGGGATCAAATGAGATCCTTGATCTCCTGAAGTTTACATTCACGTGTGTAGTGTGGGTTCTAATTGTCTTCAGTTAATCAGCATACATTCTTTGGTCATCTGGTAAGTGCAGGGTACTGTATTGAACACTCAGTTTATGTTAAGTAAGCAGAACTTTAGTCTTACAGCTTTGTAGAAGGGAACATGGTTTTTTAAACCTTCAGACAAGCTCTCTATAAGGGCAGAAAAATTTGTTCTTCCTTTATCTTATCTTTTTGTTTTTTAGAGGAATGCTGATGACTCCACTTGAATCTCTCTGACATGGAAATATAATTCATTAACCTGATGGCCAGTCTTCAGCATTGTGGTCAGGCTGCCTCTCTTCCTCACGTCATTAATTTTAAATTTCTAGAGCTAAAGACACTCTAAACAGTTTTCCCTCAAAGAAAATTGATGGCTTCATGTTTTTTAGCACTGTTAACTTCCTTCATACTGAAAGCTATGAGAATATTTATGAGTATGTACAAAAAATACATAAATCACACTCGTTTTGGGTGAAGTTTTATAGATTGTCCTTGATTTGTTAATTTGTAACTAAGTTAACTATTGTGAAAATGTTCTTAAGATTTACCATTTTTGCTGATGTTTTATATGTTAGAAGAGGCTGCGGTTTAATTGTTATGGGTACAATGTCCTGGTTCAGAATCCTATCTTAAATTTTATATTTTCTCTTCAGGCCAGAGTTACTACAAGTTTCTGTTGATGGACTTGAAGTACAGATTCCAAAGGACCTTAACAGCTTTCTACAGGAAGTATCACACTCTAGGTTTATTGAATGTAGGTTTAAAGAAGCTCGCTCTTTCTTTCAGGTTAGTGACACTCAAGAAGTATAACTTTTAAAATTAAAATAGGTTTCTATTTTTAATATTAAGTAAAATACAGAAATTTTGGGGAAAAAAAACAAGAAAATACAACTTCTGTCATCAGGATTGTTGATTCATGAATGGTCTCTTTTGGATATTTTGTTTTAATGCAAAGGTATGGCTTAACCTTGAGAATATAATTCTTTCCAAGTGGATAGTTTGATGCTTTTGATGCCCTTTTTTGAGCAGTGGGGAGAAGTTCATTATTTTTATTTAACACCTCAAAACCACTTATTCTTTTCTGTGTACTTCTCACATGTTTGAGGCAGAATTTTAGAATATAAAAGCTAGAAAGAACCTTAAGAAGTCAGTTAGTTCAGCTTGTTATTCCCAGGTAAGATGTCCCATTAATTGTATATACGTAATGTAGTCTATCCTGTTTTTAAAAGCGTCAAAGGAAGATTCCCCTTTGGATTATATACATCATGCAATATTATAACACTTTATGAAGAAAATATCCTCAGAGGGGTGATGTTGAGGGTTACTTTTATAATTCTTGTAATATCATTTAAAGATAAATAAAATATGAGGATAGTGTTTTTGAGCTTTATTCTTCACTAGTGTGAAGGGTATATAAATTGAACTTTATAGGATGACATGGAGTAGAAATATTACACATATAAACAAGTCACTCATACAACCAGGTTTGGTGAGCACATGTGTTTCCTTAATCCTGCATGACCTTCTAAATGGGAGAGGTGAGTAATATTTAGAAGCAGGATTTTTTTTGATGTTCAGAAACCAGGATGAAGATTAGAGCCATATAACCTAAGCCACTTATAGATGACCTTGGTAAAGTCACCTAACATTTTTCTGCTTCAGTTTCCCCATCTTCAGAGCAGGGATACTGCATTTATAAAGCTATTTTAAGTGATTTTCAAATAAAAGCTGCTATTGATAAAAATATATAAAAAATATAATATATAAAAATATATCTATTTTGTAGTTTATCTGCTGCAAAATTTTAATTCCATTCTGATTTTCTTCTGCCACCTAACACTCTACTTTCTCCATACTTCATTAGTGAGTGAGTGTAGGGTCAAAGAATGTAAACTACTTTTAATGGTAGCTGAAGCAAAATATTTGGATTGGCATGTTCTCCCTTTGAAGCTGCCTTTGAGATACCTTAAGGTACCTTAAGCAAAACCAGATAAAATTGCAGGAAAAATTAATATATTTAAAATCCAAATTACTTGAGGATTACTAGTCATTTTTTTATTGCAGTGCTACAGTTCCTTCCATCAGTGACCAGAGAAAGATCATCTAAAAGAAATATTAATTTCTGAAATTATAGAAACTTTTATTTTAAACCTTTTTATATAATACTTTAAAATAAATTTTATTAATAACTTTTATTTTTACATTGCCTAATTTTTTTTGTATCTTATTTTCAAAGAACCATCCCATATAACAAAGAATATCCTTTTTTAAGTTAGAGTTAAATATATCTTGCCATTCTGTTGACATTTTTCTTCATTTAAATTTAAAATTTTTTTTATTGATCTCTTGTTTTATTTATACCATTTTCATTTCAAAATATATAATCTTCCCTGTTCCTTTCCCGAAGAGCTATCCCTTGTGACAAAGAATAAAAAAGAGAGGGAAAAAAAGTTCAGCAAAATTAACCAACATATCACCTGAGAATATATATAGTGTTCCACATCCATAGTTCTCCACCTTAGCAATTAAGGGAGGTACATATTCTCTTTTCATCTTTAAGGACCCACTTGTAGTCATCATAATTATACAGCATTCAGTTTTGACTTTTTTTGTTCTTTTCATTTTCAGATGATTTTTAAAATTATATTTTTAAAAGATTTATCACTGAGCATAAACACTTTTTCCACATGTTTTCAGAAAATCTATTTTAAAACAAGGCAGCTGCAAGTACATGAAAGTCTATCCTGTCCAGTTGACAATATACCTCTTAACTGATAAAGTCTGTGTTATTCTCATTTGCTTCTCCTTAAAGCTCCACAAATATTCAATGTTCTGCAGGTACAGTCTTATTGTTACTTCAAAAAACATTTAACCCCTAAATATTTTTTTTACCAGCTTTGTATATTTTCCCTAGCAATACCTGCATTTATTAGTGTTGTATCATCTAATGACAGAGAAAACACAGTGCTAATTGATAGGCATAACAGAAAGTATTTACTAAAATAGTTCTTTCCAGTAAGGACATTCTATGCACAGGGAACACATTTAGTCATTCAATAAATATTGTGCATCTACTGCACATAAGGTACTATACATTTAGTTATTGTGGCAAAGACAAAGAGTCGTATAGCAATGCTAATCCTTAAGCAATTTACCACCCAGTGGGGAAGATGAAAAAAGTACAGAAATAATTGTAATTCGAGGCAGAATATGAGGAACAAAGTGGTATGGGAGTTTGGCCATACTGTTATGAAGCCTAATTTATTAAACACCTATTAAAAGTAATTTCCCTTTGGGGAACAGGAATAAATAAACCATATTGTCAGTATAGAGTTTCACAGTAGTGGGCAAGTGAGCAATGATATCCATTTGGGAATAAGTCATCCAGATCAAGTGACATCTATAGAACTTTTACTTAAGAAGCTATTTTATTACCTACCATCCAGTTGTCTAGGCTCACTACATTCTGGTAGATATCTATATCTATCTATATGGGGATCTATCTTTATAGATATAGATATATATGGAGATATCTATATCATCTATGTAGGGCTCTATATCTCTCTATATCTGGAAAGGCAGTATGATATGTAAGGTGTTTCGTAGTATTGAGAATTCATGAGGATGTCATGTTTTTGAATTCCAATATATTTGCAATCTTAATTTCAAATTTTAATGGAAAGCACTCAGGAAGATCTGAGGAAAGGAGATGAATGATGGATGAGAACCTAGGATGGATGTAACCATTCTAGTTGGGTACCATTAGTTTTGCTTTGTTTTGCTCTTTTTATTTTCTTAAGCAAAATCAATATGCAAGATAGTAATGTTGCCTGGAGCATTCTGTTCTTGACAAAATCAGGTAAAGCTTTGCATTAATTCATTCTTCATCATGTCCATGCATGCGTGAAGATAGGCCTATGACTCAACATTTCCCTTTCTTGTTTTTATGTATTGGTATTTGTGCTGTGGGACACAGTAATATTCTATGTGTTATTTTTATCTTTACCCTACTCTTACTTATTCCCTTCCTGTGTCTTTGCTTCCTTCAAGGCCTTGGTTGTAATTACCCCAGGTCAGTTATCTAATCAAAGTATTTGCATACTATTTTTTAATACTCTATAGCACCAAGTAAATTTAAATAATACAGCTGAATTTTTTAAAGTAAATGAAATAGGGTAGAAGAATCTATTAGGTGTGTTTGTTGAGTCTTTTTTTCAGTTGTGTCCAACTCTTTGTGACCCATTTGGGGTTTTCCTGGCAAAGATACTAGAGTAGTTTACCATTTCCTTCTCCAACTGATTTTACAGATGGGGGACTGAGGCAAACAGGGTTAATTGACTTGCCATGGGTTACATAGCTAGTAAGTGTCTGAGGCCAGATTTGAACTCATGAAGACAAGTCTTCCTGACTCCAGGCCCAGCACTCTACCCACTGAGCCACCTAGCTGCCCCAAATTAGGTGTTAGCCATTAGTAACTTTTGTTGCCATTATATTGTTACCTTTTTGTCCATAGTCATTCTGGTAATGTGTCAGTAGTAATAGAAGAACTGTATCTAATGAGAGAAGTATGTTCATAACTGTACTATTATAAGTCATATGTATACATTTGCATACCTATATCTGATTTTATTGTAGCAGTAGTCATTAACTATGGAGGTAGTGAAAAGAGTTATGATGTTGTTGTTCAGTCATGTACAATTCTTTGTGACCTCATGAACCATGGCATGCCAGGCCCTTCTATTGTTCACTATCTATCAAAGTCTGTCCAAGTTCACATTGTTGTTTCCATGATACTGTCTATCCATCTCATTCTTTTCTGTCTTCTTTTCCTTTTGCCTTCAATCTTTCCCAAAATCAGGTCTTTTCTAATAAGTCCTGTTGTCTCATTATGTGGCCAAAGTATTTAAGCTTCAGCTTCAGTATTTGATCTTCCAGCCTGAATTAACTTCCCTATGTATTGACTAATTTAATCTCCTTACTGACCAAGGGACTCTCAAAAGTCTTTTCCAGCACTACAATTTGAATGTGTTGATTTTGTGGCTCTCAACTTTCCTTATAATCCAACTCTCTCAGCCATACATTGCAACTGGAAAAATCATAGCTTTGACCAGACAGACCTTTGTCAGCAAGGTGATATCTCTGATTTTTCATATGTTCTCCAGATTTGCTATCCCTTTTCTTCCAGGGAGCAAGGATCTTAATTTCATTGCTGTAGTTGCCATCTGTAGTGATCTTCAAGCCCTAAAATACAAAATATGACATTGCTTCCATTTCTTTTTCCTGTTTGTTGAAGTGATGGGACCTATTGCCATCTTAGATTTTTCTTTGTTTTTTGTTTTTTGGGTTTTTTTGCTGATAAGTTTCAAGCCAGCTTTTATGCTCTCTTCTTTTACCCTCATCAAGAGATTTCTTAATTCCTCTTCACTTTCTTCCCTCAGAGTAGTAGCATCTGCATATCTGAGATTGTTGACATTTCTTCTGGCAACCTTAATTCCAGCTTTTGATTCATTTAGCTTGGCATTTTGCATGATATGCTTTGTAAAAAAAAAAAAAAAAGTTAAATAAAGTTACAATATACTGCCTTGTTGTACTCCTTTTCCATTCTTAAACCAATCAAGTGTTCCATGTTCAGTTCTAACTGTTGCTTCTTGGCCCACATACAGTTCTCCAGGACATAAGTAAGATGATTTGGCATTTCCATCTCTTTGAGGACTTGCCACATTTTGTTGTGATCCACACAGTTAAAGGCTTTAGTGTAGTCGATGAAGCAAGAAGTAGATGTTTTT